GTTCCTCAGCTATTTTGACATTTGAGGGAGATGAATAAAAGCATTAGAACCTTTACCTTATAGCATTAAAGTGCGACCAGGAAGAAATGTCCATAACTAATGTAGAAGAATACATATCAACATGCTAGTTATTTTAAAGTTTAGCAAGTTTTTTTAATGAATGACACAGATTATTCCTAACAGCAGCCAATAATTTTACTAAAGTATGATAAGTGATACTTAATAATAATGATGATTATAATAATAATCATAATAAAAATGTGACTAGTTACTACCAATCTATTGTTTTTTATTTGGTTTTAATTTTTTCTATTAATTAATATTATTATATTTGTTTTATTTCTTTAAACTTCTATGTTGTTTTTATACAATTTTATCGTTAACTGATATGTACAGCACTTTATGGCAGCTGCTTTTGTTTTAAAGGGCATTATAAATAAAGTTGAATTGAGTTGAGTTGATTCTTTTACATATGTACTTCATTGCATTTTTCCAAGGGAGGAAGGAAATATGTATTTTGGCCCTTATAAAGTCATTACTGCTCTCCTTGTTTACATTTCAAAACATATCAACGCCAATGGCTGCTTTATGAGGTCAGAGAACGAAAAGAGTCCAATTCAGGAAGCGAGACCGGCCTTAGGGGCTCTCAGGTATCCGAAACATTGTGCTGCGGATAGTTGTTCCTTTTTTGCTGTGCGAACCGGCTCTCATGTTACAGCGATGCCATCAGATCTAAGAGAGAAGAATTAGACACCTGTGTGGGAGCGAACATCGTGCCTCAGAAGAGATACTGTAGACCAGTGTTAGCGTGGCAGCAATCACACTATTAAAGTTTAAAGCACAGAAGTGGAGGAGTGATGCCAGAAAGGCGGCCAAGATGCTGCAGGTTGTCTTCTTTGTTCACACATCGTAACAACAAACAGACAACATTAAACCTGAAAGAGTCAGGAGTTATTTCGCTGATTGAATATATAATTTAACTTTATCTTTGATAGCAATGCATCAGACAGAAGCTTCATTTCCCACTGTGTGAAAACGGCAACCAGACGAGTGTATATAAAGACGGTATTAGACACGGTACACTGTCTCACAAAGTAAGCTAACGTGATCTGAGAAGGGCACACAATACCACCGGCACTTCATGAAAAATTCACGACATCCAAACTCATGTATCACAGCCATGTTCAAAGGAACATCGAACACCCTATTATCATGCCAGGAGATTCTCTAATGAAACTTTTAATTAGCAGTTCAACTTCTCCAGACTGGGATTCATTTATAAGAAAATGACTTAAATGGGTTAAATGAATATTGGGATTAAAATAATTAATGTTGATCAGGTTTTTGTAGTCTTTTATGAAGTATATTCAAAATATGTACACAGAAATTGTGCAATATGGCTTTAGTTTACCTTTTTTTTTATCTCTGCAAAACACAAGGAAGCATTTTAGTAATAGCAGTCTTAAAGTGAGAGTGTAAAAATACCACATGAAGCAATATTAACCTTATTTACAGAATGTTTTTACGAAAGACATTCCTCATTCTTAGTTTAGAGGCGATAATGAGTAATTGGGTAGGATAGGTGTATTTCAGAGTGAGGGTTACTTGGAAAAATGGACAAATTGATAAATGTAAAGCCATCAAAACACATTTAAGGTTTCTCTAACATTTTTCTTGTACCACAATATGTCCCAAACAATAAGGAAAATGACTGAAAATAAAATAAAATACTGCCTATCAGGTATTCGGTTATTGATCTGTTTTGAAGACGTAGCAAATTAATATTTTAGAGTTAATTAAATTGATTTATATGATGATAGCTCTTTTTTTTCTGTAAAAGGCAGACATTCAAAGGAAATTTAAATACTTTTCTCAAAAGGAAAAAAAATGCAATGACTGCTTTGAAGCCTAAAATAATCTTCACAGAGTTTATGAAACCAATTTTTTTTTTTTATTCAATTAAGATGCAAAAGCTTTGATCAAAAGAGCTAGCTTGAGCTAATTTGATTTAATAATTTAATATGTGGATTACAATTATTTGGACAAATTAAACATCAATAAAAAGAGTTTCTACATCACTGTAGGCCCCTTTAGACACACTTGGTATCATGCTGAGTTTCAAGTGTTGTTAATGTGATACTGATCATTGAATGTCACATAACACCTTCTGTTTGCTTTCGGTCATGTAGCTGCATTGTGACTGGACCATTGTCACTAACTGGCTTATACTGGCTTTAGACTGATTCTGGGCCAGCTATGCTTTGTGTTCTTTTCTTTTCTGTAGAGTCGTTTGCTGACTTTGCTTTTAAGAAGTTGTAAACAAGATTTTTTTTTTTTTGTTATCTTATTTTACATAGAGGCAGCAAATAGTTCTGTAAAAACACATGTAGAAAAATGTGTAATGGTCCGATTAATTGTTTGACATCTTGGTCATGTATAAATCAAAACAGACATATATATAGATAAAATAACATTTTGGTTAAAAACAATGCTAAATATCACCAGAACATACAATAAACAATGAAGCATGGTAGTGGCAGCATCATGCTTTGAATTAGTTTTTCTTCAGCTATTATTTCCTATGTGAAGCTGGCCGGAGTTTTGTTACCAGTTTATCTTAATACAAAACCTCAAAGCTTTGGCTGGAAAAATATTATGACACGATCAACAAAGAATGGTCTCATCAGAAGAAAATCAAGTTCAGGAGGGAGTGGGCCCAATTTAAAGAAGGCTGTGTTTGTTGACGGTGAGCATTTTAGCGTGAACAGGATATATACGTATATTTTTTTTTATTATCTCATTTTACAAAGAGGCAGTCTGGTGTTATGTCTGTTCTGGTCTAAAGTAAAGGTTCTCTGCTAGCAGCTGGCCAATACTAATGCAATTGTTTCTCTTGTCACTGAAGTCTGGAGAGAAATTTGGCCGACCACAAATCCACTCACGTACGCTGACCTGAGCACAAGGACCATGAACTCATTACTCTGCCATCCTGTGATTTGATTTGCCTCTTTCTCACAACAGAGCATATTTCCCGCAAAACAGTTTAGCAAATTTTCAACATACGTAACTGTAATGTAATCCTATAATTTATGTTATATATGTCCTGTTTTCCGGGAACATGGTCTTGTTTTTAGATGATAAATCTTTCAAATTCACAGTAACTCACCTTGGTGCAAAACAAGGAAAGGGTGCCATGCAATGATATTATAACAGTAATGTTTTCAGCATTACAAAACATGATTTTGATTGACTACATACTTGAATCACAACACATTGCTGTTTTCTGTTTCATTTGCATGGAAGAGAGTACTGTAACCTCCTAACATTTTGCTTGAGAAACTTAATCAGAAATTAAATCTATCATAATAGTTTGTGTGGTTGATTGAGATAAAGAATATCTGCTGCACTGTGAAAAATCACTTTCCCATTGGAAGATTTCTCTGTCTTTGCTTTTACGTCGCATCTAATGTATCACCTCAATTATTACTGAAATGCAGTGTTTAAAAAGTTATTTAATTTTATCAAATTAAAAATATGTCCAGACCAACTTTGCTGTGTGTAAAGCAGTTTTTTTTTTATCTGTTTTCCCTGCTAATAATCAGCTACTTCCTTAACAGTGCAATAAAAAATCACACTGCAAAAAATCTAAATGTAGAAAAGTCTTTTTCTACAGTCTTTTTTTTTTTTTTATAAAATAAGTGCATTTGTTCTTGAATTGAGGTGGTAAAAGAAATAGAGTGAACAAGACAATTTACACTTAAAATAAGACAACACAATTGCGTTGTCTTATTTTAAGTGCATGTTATGTAATTATCTTATTTCAAGAGTAAAATTACTCATTCCATTGGCAATCTCATTTACCTACTCAAATTAAGGGTGAATACCTTAATTTAAAACATTTTAACTTATTTCTAGATCGTTTTTGCAGTGCACTTTAAAAGAATCTGTCTGACAACATGAAGTAGAAGGAGATGTTCTAAAGAAGCAAAATATAAATTTACCCTCTGGGTATGTAGCAACACAGTGATACAAAACTAACCGACTCCTATTTCTGAGTGGTTTAGAAAGAATAAAATGCTGAACCTCTGCTGTATGCGAGGGTATTATAAGCGGTTAAAGTGATTAAAATATTTTCAAATTGAATCACATTTTGTTTCCCATTGATCCTGCTTCATGAAGAAAAATGAGGGAGGAAAAAAAGCACAAAAAAAGAAAAAATCTGTAAATAGTCTTCAAAAGCATTGTAAGGTAACGTAGAATAACAGATGTTTCCAATGTAAAAATACCAATTGGAGAATCAAATGAAACTGTGAATAGACGGTTCCACTGTAGTAATAAAGCACTCGACATCGGAAAAAGATATGCACGTAAATTCTAAATCGCAGAGTATACGGTTAATGTTAAAAACAAAATACAACTAAGTCAATGTATTTTAGCTTATTTCAAAGTTAGACAATTTGCCAATGGAGTAAAATGATTTTATTTAAAAATACAATAAAAAAGAAAAGAAGAAACCCACACCTTTAACTTAATTCAAGTGTATATTGTCTAAATATCTTAATCTTCAGTGTAATCTGATGTTACTTTGTAGATATCTGTACATACTTATGCTAATGTCTCTGTCTGTACTGGATGACCTGCCAATCTAAGTATGTAGCCAGAATTTTTTTAATTTTCTGTTTGTTTTAGAATTTTTTTTATAATTGTTGTTGGCATTATACACTTTGCCCAGGGACAACAGTTGAACACCAGCTTCACAGCTAATACTGACACATTTACAGAAAGGTTAATTAATGTATACTGTCCCTGACAAATAAATGAATAGATAAAAATAAATAATAAAAAATTTATTTCAAGCTATAGTTGTGATATGAAGTATTGAGTTTAGGTTCAAAATGCATTTTTTTATTCAGAATCTAAAAGTTTAGCCTTAGATTGATTAAACTAGTACATTTTTTACAGTGTTTCCTCAAACGAACATTCAAATGTAAAAAACTCACCATGGGTCTGCGATTTTCCACCAGGTGAATGCCAACAATACCCAGAAATGCTCCAAAACTGAGCTAGAAGCAGAACAACAATAATTGTATTTACAATAAAAACTCCCAGTTGAAATCTTATTTCTAAGGATTGTGAAGGTACACATCACTCACTGTGATGCCAGGGTAATATCCAGACACAGCCACGTTGTCTGTGCGAGTAGCCGAGATGAGACCGATGGTCAGGACCACCAAAGCTAAAGCCAGCAGGGACACGGTCACCCACAGAGCTGTCTTCCCCCTGCGGATATATAGACCTGATAGGGAGGAAGAAACAAGAAAATAACTGCTGATATTTCTCCAGAACTGCAACATGTGGATTCTGACATTATGTATATAGTGACAATATTTTGCACAAATCATAGAAAATACATAATGTATTTCAGCTATTGATAAAGGATGAAAATGAATGCATTATACAAGTAAAACAGCCACTGTAGAAGTTTTAACATCTCTGCAATTAATATACCTGCTATTCTCTAACTGTAGAACCTGTTATGTGTTTTTTTTTTGTGCTTCATACAAGTTTGACTGTTTTCATTTTTAATGCTGTCTGTATGTTGACTGTAAATTAAGTATTGAGCCATTTGTTTCCTTAGAAATTAGCCAAATAATTACGGATATTGAGTGCATGCAGACCAGAAGAATGTCTCTTTATAGTAGAAAGTCACTATATAAAGAGGGGCTCCTCCCAGGTATTTTTATTTTTTTATGATTATGGGAATGAATCAGTTGAGCCTGAAAATTCACAGAGGAAAGTAAATTTTATTTATTTTTCTTATGCAAAAAGCAGCACTGTCCTAAAGTAGCACATGCTTGGCATGGTGAAAATGAAGGAACACATAAAGGATGCTTATCTTTCTAAGTGAAGAGGACTTTACCTGCAGCATCCAGAGTTTCTGTGGCTGTTTGTTGACTTGTCTGCTGTGGTTCAGGCTGCTGCATGTTGCCTCAGTCAGGATTAATAAGATCTGAAATAAAACCAAAAACCAGGGGGGCTCCTCTTGTCCAGGTAGCTGACACTATTAAGCTTCAATCGGATGTCTTCATCTTTCACAGAGTAACATGAAGGGTTTCTTATGTTTACAATCCACAGGTCTGGATGCTGATCAGAGGAGGATCCTTACAGCTGACTCTGGCTGAGGTCTGCAGGGTTCAACTTCACTTGTAGCCTGAGAGGAAGGGAGTCACAGAGTGAGGAGATGAACCAATCAGCTCCATGTGTTCCCAGTGGTGAATTATTCAAATATTTATATTACATAAGTTTTACACAACTTCAAATTGATTGGTGTTAAAAATATTCATTTTTCGTTGGAAAAAATATACATTATATGGAAGCATGTAATTAAGGCTTTGTAAGTTTTTATTTTTATACATTGGGAATGAAGCAATTAAATATGAGTGCAGCACCCTCTACTGGAAGGTTTTTACTACAAATTGAATTTGATCAGTTACATGCAGTATTGTGTCATTGCTGAAGCTGTAATGGCAGATTTTTCTGCTCCCCAGACGTACAATCATCTTTCTTCATTTTGTCCTGCATGCTGTGTGTCAGTTTAGTTTATTATAGAGACTAACAAAATCATTCACATATGTGGACAACAAATTTGGTGTTAGACCAGTTTTTTATTTGATTCTACAAGGGCAAAGCGTCAACTTGCAAGGTCATTATAACGCCCCTCAGTGGTGTCAGAAGAGACAACAGATCCTAAAGTCCAGATGGAAAATCCTGGTGCAAACTTCTCTCAGGCAAAACATTGAAACCCATGAGTTTTCCTGTTCAGTTATCTATAAAATAGTTTAATGTTTGTTATAGTGCTTAACAAGACATAAACGTATGTCTATATTTCTATATCCCATTTAAAAACAGGTACATCTGCCCAAAATGCTGTACAACAAACATTATAAAGTCCAACAAATTAGTCCAACGATACAAAACGATTATTATTTACAGCCCTACTATCAACAAAAACTCTTAAAGATTGTTTTTCATACTAGAGTGATCACTAAAACTGGTTTGTTTTCTGGACTGAAATTGTCTAGAACTCAGCCTTAAACAAAATTCCATTCAAATCAGCCTGGCTGTGTCAACAATCCCTGCCAATGAAACCAAACGCAGTACACGTGAAATTCTTTGTGGTCTTGAGTTGAACTATACATTAATCAAGGTGCAGATGCGTTCTGTAAAAAGCCTGAAACGAGAAAAATCAGATTGCTACAGTAGCACAAAAGCCACCAGCTGGTAAAAAAATGTAAAAAAGCAGAAGAAAAAGCGCTTAAGCATAATTTACCAACTAGAATGCTGTTGAATATTCTTAGTCATCCAGGTGATAGTCATTCCAAAAAAGTTAACAATCCACTGGACTTAGTTTCCAAGTTTGAAGATGTTCCTATACTCTGCAAATTTCCTAAGCAATTTCCCTATTGGAAACTCAGAAACTCACTGAACTTACTGAACTTAGTGGACTTTTTTTTTTTTTTTTTTTTTTTACTTTTTTGGAAGTACGATCTACAATAGAAGTATTTGTAGAAAATCCAATATTGAGGATTACTGCTGGACTGAAGCATCAGACGGTTTTGAATTTCACATGGTAGGGGCCATAAATGAACAATGACAATTAATTTTCAGAAATCAACCCATAGTTCTCAGTAGGTCAAAGTTGTTATTTTTAGTTTATTTTACCTTTAGCTTGTTCCATCCTAATTTAAATCTATTTTTATATACATTTATATCCTTTTCCTTCAAAATCATGATTCTTTGTTTTTATAATCATCAGGTTCCAATTGGGCCAAATAGTAGAGAAATCAAATCAACTAAATCAAACGCATTCCATGCAAGAGTTCATGTTCTACATGATAGTTCAGTGTATCACATAGATCAAAAGTTACCGTCCACTCTTTTTTGTTTTAAAACTTTAAACGAAACTCATCCTTTGCTTTAGTGGCACAAGTCTTATTGAAAAAAAAAAAACAATCAGAAAAACTCACCTCTTTTTTATTCAGAGGAGAAATAATCTCTTTTTTTATGTTGTTTTTCTTGTTTGTTTTAATCCCTGCTGTCACAATTTCTCACCCAAACAATTACTGTAAAATAAAAGCAAGTTTTGTTTAATACATTCATTTCTTAAGGCCACCAGAAAGTCTACAAACATACAATTGTAAGCTGTGACTTGTTTCGCTGTGGTGTGAAATAATATAACATAGATCCACTGCTGTTACAGCCTCTCCAAAATAAGAAAAAGAGAACACTTTATTTAAAAGGGAAGGGGGATATTAATCTTTAAAAATAATAAATGGCTTGGACAAACAAACTACACACCAAAGGTTGTCCTTTTTCTAATGACTCAGAACAGAGGGATCCAGTATTCAGACTAGACAGACAGTGGGATAACTTCAAAAGCCTTTATTTTAAAATGGAACATTTGCAGATTTGTAGTAGCAGTGGATAAGGCGTCTGAGGCAGGTAACTCTGGAGAGGGAAAACACAGGTAAATGACCACAAAAGGATAATCTGAACGTGTGAGCCCTAACCTGGTTTAGAGTACCATCCGTGCCCAGAGAAGGAGGTAGATACCAACCACTCAGCTGACAAAACGTAGTAGTTGCCGCACAAAGAGTTCCAAACCCTGAAGCCTTAAAGAACACAGAACTGACAGATCAGATCCAAGAAGACGAAGGAAAGCAGGATAATCCAGAGGACGAAGTCCAAAGGCAGATCCAGGTTCAGTTCACAATAGAATCCAACAGAATCCGAAGACAGGTCAGGCAAACAGATCAGGACAGGGGCAGGCAGGCTCAAAGGTCCAAATAAAGAAACGGGTCAGGATCAGGCAATCAGAACACTATAAAAGTAAAGCTAAAAAACTCACACCAAGGGCTTGAGAATAATCTGGCACTGACGACTGGGAGCAAGTACTTAAAATAGAAGCTGGAACAGGTGTATACAATGAGTAGTGATGAGAAAACCAGGCAGAATTGGACAGGTGACTGAAATGAGCAATCAGGCCAGTAATAAGTGCCAATATTATAACACTTTTGTGCTGTCAGAGAAAAATAATAAAACAATCCTAACTTGTGAAGTTGCCAAGTCTCCAAATGGTGGAAAATCCAAAAGTATATTGTAATTACAAAAATCAGAGTATTAAACATGAAACATTTGCATGATAGAAATAAAAAAGGTTGACTCGTTAATAAGGTCCTGAAACTAAAACAGTGATGAAAGGAAAGAGTTTGTATAAAAAATCGCCTTGATGAATTATTACTATGAAAATCAGATCCGGTTTAAATCCAAAGTGATGAATTTATTTGAATTTAGAGACAGCAGTAAAAAACATTAAACATATGAAACTATTATTACACATGGAGGAAGCATATTAAGACAGATGATGGAAACTAATAACAGAAAAAAGGAGTAGTACATGCAGTCTCTATTAATGCTTAAAGAAACAGCTTAGCTCAGCAGACAAAAAACTAAAGTAGGAAATATAAATGCTCTGTTTTTCATTTCTGTCGTGGAGAAATAAAAAAATAAAATAAATTCACATTTTTCATTCCTAGCTGATTGTTGTGACAGTGTCGCAAAGAAACAAGTTTATTTTGCAGGAACAAGTTTAAATAAAGTTTCTATAGTAGGATGATGACATATTAAATACCTGAACTGTTGAGAAATTCCTACATCAAAAGATTATTAAAGGTACAATAATCCTATAAACATTCTTACATCAACAGCTTAAAATAAAACCGAATATTGCATAAAGTGCTCGTCATGACAATTTACATTATTTATAAAGGGTATCTTTGCGGCTATCTTGAGCATTCAGGACACCGTGCAGGTGGAGGACTTGGGCGGCTGCTCCAGGATGGACTCCCGCCGCAGGTCGTTGGGCAGGGTACCACCGGGGCCCCACGCGTTGAGCTCTCCATAGATCCCTGTCTCTATCATCTCCTCCTGCCAGGGGATGGGGATGTTCCCCGTGGCAAACTCATCGAAGAACTCATTGTCTACGTCTTCCAGAGCCACGCCTTTTACCGTGGAGAAGGCGCCCACGTTATCCAGGTCCTTGGCATACACCGTCTTGGAGTCTGGTACAAAAGGGGGAGTCAGGATTCCTGAGGGGGACAGAAGTTTGAAGATTAAAGACAGGGATATTTTTCGTAGATGGCCTTTAAGAAAAAACAACAACAAGGATCATTGTAGCTGTTTGCCTGCAGCCCAGAACCACAGTGTGGCCTCCAATAAAATCAGTAAGATTGCATTTCTTTTGACTTCTTTATTGTTGTCTTACAGTTTTCCTTTAAGAAAGGTCGAGGGAGCAAAAATAATAATAATAATAAAAATACTGAGACCTAAAGCTGGTGTCTTAACATTCATTTCTGTCACAATCTGTACGCCTCCACAACTCTGAGGCTTGCAGAGAAGATTGTGGCTGATTCCTCGCACCCCAGCTACAACTAATTTCAGAAACGTCCCTCTGGCAGGAGGTTGCATTTCATCAGGACCAAAACCTCACTCAACTAGAACAGTTTCTTCTCACCCGCTACCAGCCTTATCAACAAGGCCTAGAGACCCCTGTGATGCTGACACACCTAGAAGCTACACCAACGGCATCTCCAGACCTCCTGAGTTACATTAACGCACAGTCTACTGTGTATATAGTTTATAGCTATATACTATATATTGTATATAGTATATTTTATGTTTTATATTATATATAGCTATAGATTCTGTACTCTGTAAATATATCTAATTTGAGTGTACCATCAACACCAAGTCAAATTCTTTGTAAGTGCAAACCTACTAGGCAATATCTGATCTGATTCTAACCCTGATTCTGAAACTGACCTGCGTTCAGTTTCCTCCAGTTGATGTCCTGGAAGAAGGGATGAGCCCTCAGCTCATCACATGACCCGTCCTTGAAACCAAGCCTCTTGTCAACCTCTTTGCACAGCAGCCCCTCACAGAGGGAGCGGGCGTTCTCGCTGAACTTCTCTGGATAGGTTACAGGATCGTCCAGAATCCGTTTCTTCACCACCTTGTTCTCCACCTGATGAGACAAATCAAACCTGCGTTTAACTTTTAATCAAACTCTGGAATTTGAAAGAAAGCCAAGATGTCCCTTATATATAAATAAACAGACAACTCCTGTATTCTAGCTACCTTTTCTCCACGACTCCTGAAGGGCCCCTTGGCTGCTATGAACTCATAGAGGGTGACCCCTAGTGTAAAATAATCCACAGAGTAGTCATACTCTTCTCCTTTCAGAAGTTCAGGAGCCATGAAACCTTCACAGAAGAGGAGAGGCACATTGTTTAGGCTGCAGCAGAAACTGCATTTAATTTTATTTTATGGATATAATAAATACAGTCATAATAAATTGACATTTGGATTAGAAGCACTTAAAATGTTGCTTCAGCCAGTAACTACTTAGTTATGTACGACATTTGTTTTTAAAAATAATACATTAAATGTTAAAATGTTAAACAAAATTCTTTTCCTCACTACATTTTTCTAAACTTTAAGGCCCTCCAATGGTCAGAAATAAAAGAGAAACAGACACAAAGGGAGGTTTTTTGTGGATTAAAAATAATGTCATTAGGTAGAGAAAGAAAAGCCTGAAGGATAATCCAAATGTTTCAGGACCTTTTTTCTTCCTTTGTGAAGACTTTGAAATTATGTCAAACCATTCTGATTCCAAAGCTAAAAAGAAATTCAGTTTTTCTTTTTTTCATATAGTAGCTTTTTCAAGAAATTTGTAAAAAAATAAAGAAAACAAAGATTTTATAAATTTTTTAATGTGAACTATCTGTATTATTTGCATATATTATTGTTCTATAGCAATGACAGCAGTGGGTGGAGTTAATTTTAGGCCTTCTAGAGTCACTTTTAAAGTCAATGTAACGTAATAAATATACAAAACCTGATAAAAATGCTAAATTCTTAATGTAAAAGATTAATTTTACCAGAGAGAAAGTTTCTTACTGTGCTAATTTTACAAATTAAGTAAAATATGAAGTTTTGTTTGAATTAGTAAAATATTTTCTCCATACCTGGAGTTCCAGCGTAGCCTTTGATTTTGAACTGATCATCAGCCAGCTCCACAGCCAGACCAAGATCAGAGATTCGCACATTACCTAAAAAGAAATATCAGAGCAATTGTTTGAGATGAAAAGTAGTCAAACATTCATTTAAACACTGCATAGATAAACGTTTAAGGAGTCCGTTTTAAGAAGTTTGATATTCAAATAAACCCTGGTTATCCCATTTATATAAGGGGAGGTTAACGTTTATTGTTTTCTGGAGAAAAACCTACAAAATTTAAAGAAAACGCCTCAGAAGGAGCCAAAGTCAGTTGCTTCGTTTTTTTTTCACTTTGTTTTTAACAAACTGAAATTTTCCCATAAACTGGTGACCCTGACTTGAGATATTGACCCCAGAAATGGAGAAAAGAGCCTCAGACGTCCGTGGTGCCTGAGAGAAACGTAGAATCTATCTCCATTTCTCCCTTTATGTCGGGACTGACACAAATAACTAGCCGCAGGATATCCATAATGAGAACCATCGAGTCCTTTGGTTAAAGGTATAGTGGAGGATTTTCGCGAATTTCTAAAAAGACCAACCATCTCCACTTTAAAAAAAACGCACAACCTTGTACCTGCTCCTAGAGGGCATGAACGTGTGCAAGAGGAGCCCATTTCTCCTCGTGCACGCTGTTTAAAAGTTGCTGTTTGCATCACTCATACAAGTTTACTTTCCAAAAGAAGATTTGCAATTTTTCCATTATGTCAGACTCACCACCAGTAAGTGAAAATGGGGACGAGCACGTAGGGCGGCCTTACGTAAACATTTCAGCAGAATGATTGACAGTTAGTAGGACCACTTATTTTGATGATCCACCCGCAAAAAGAACATCCTCCACTATACCTTTAATGCAGTGTCAGCTGAGAGAAGTCCCCCATGTGTTCCTCCAGACATGGAGAAAACCAACGGAGATCAAACCCACTTCAAAGTTAGAAACCTTAAGCACATAATCTATTCAACTCTATTTAAGAGGACCTTTTTCAAAATGTCTGTTACCCCTTTCGTCGTTGATCAGCGGTGTCAAAGGTACACACATTTCTTACTTAAGTAGAAGTATAGATATGCAGTTTAAAAACACTCTGGTAAAAGTTAAAGTATCAACTTGACCTCTTTATTCAAGTAAAAGTGAAAAAGTATGTGCCCCAAAAACTACTTAAAGTATAAAAGTATAAATTAACCTTTAAAAAAAACAGCCAGATGCCGCTATATGAATTGAAAGCTAAATTTTTCGACTATTTGAAAAAATTCTTTGAGATAGGGCCAAGGATGAGGGAGGTCTTGTTGGTCTCCATTTCCATCTCCCGATACGCTCTCCCCTGTGTCCGACCTTTCAGACTTTTCAACATCTTTTTCAGAATCGACATTGTAGCATGGAATAGACAATTCACGTTTGAAGAACACCTGCTTGCTTCTGCTAATTTCCTTTGGCATCAGCATAAATTTGACGAAAAGCTAACCAATGAGTGTTTGCGTTATATGACTCATCCAATTACACTAGTTTTCACTAGATGTGGATGGCGCCAATGATCTGCACTGGATGGTGCTCATGATGTGAAATAAATATTTATAAACATTAAACCGAAGCCGAGAGTAACGAGTAACGTTTGTTTATAAAATGTAAGGAAAAGAAAGTACAGATACTTGTGTGAAAATGTAATGAGTAGAAGTCAGAAGTAGGAAGAAAAATAAGTAATGGAGTAAAATATAGATACCTAAAAAGTGTACTTAAGTACAGTAACAAAGTATTTGTAATTCATAATTTCCCTATTTTTAGTCTAAAGGGCTGAAAGAAAGGAAAGGAGTAAAAGAGGGGAGAATTGCATGTTGCTATATTTATGAATGAGTGATATGATGTAGATCTGTTATCTGAGTAATATTTGAATATATCTGGTGTGTTTGATGGGACGGACACGTAATGACAGACTTTGTCCTTTTACAATAAGATGCATAGGGTTAATTGATATTATATTTGTAAGCATCTTTTTGTGAACAGGATCTAGACTGAGTCTCTGAGAACTAGACCTTACTAATTGAGAGTTTACTCTGTTGACCTTTGATCTATTGACTTTTCAAATTTAGCTCTAAATAACTATTTATTATACATTTGTAATGCTTGTTCTTGAACAACTGTGCATTGTCATAATAGTTCTGGCTTTTAAAGAAAGTTAATAAAATGAGAGTGTTATAATCAAACATAATAAACTAAATTAAATTGTTTAGAGTTTCTTTCTGACCCTCATTGTCCAGCAGTACATTCTCTGGCTTCAGGTCTCTATAGATGATCCTCTTCTGGTGGAGGTGCTCCATGCCCTGGATAATCTGTGCAGCATAGTAACAGGCACGTGGCTCATCAAAGCCTGGGTTGTTCTCATCCACATTGTAGATGTGATACCTGGAGAAAAAGTAAATAAAAAAACTTATGGATAAGAGACAGAAGGACAATGCAACATACAATTTGAACTTCAGAGGCAAAACTAACAATAATGAAAAGATTGAAAGTGTGACAAAAAAGATCTGACCTTAGATCTCCCCCGTTCATGATGGTCATAACCAGACATAACTCGACTTTGGTCTGGAAGGCATAAGCTAGAGAGACAATGAATCTGCTGTGAACTCGAGCCAGGATCCTTTTCTCCACCATGGCCCCCTATAGGCAGAGAAGATAACAGCCATAAGTAAACAATGGTAATTATCTGGATTCATGGTGGAGATGTATCACCCTGGTTTTTAATTAATCATCAGCCCAGCTTTAAGTGTGTTATACGTATTTTGCTATTTATTTATTTGTGCTTCACCTATAGTGAGGAAGATCCCAATCTGACCCAAGCTGGTCTTCCAAAGAAGAATGTGATTTGGTGATTCCTCACTATTCACTACGGCAGAAATCATTTACATATAAAGCCCGTTTCACTGTTTAAAACCATTAAACGACAGTTCACTTTTCTTAATCAGAGTGTTCTGTTCAACCCACAGACTATGTCCACTGTATTAAAAGAAAATGCTAATAAAAAACATGGTAAAAGTTTGATTTCTGTTTTGTTTGGAGCACAGCTTTTAACATATTCTCAGTGTAGTAAAGACAGTTCAATTAAACCTACACTGAAAAACTCTATCCTTTTATAATTGTATTTTTATTAGAAACAGTATGCATGAAATTTAAATTTCAGCTCATAAACAGCCTTCCTAAATTTTTGCCGGATCAACTGTGAAACAATGGTCATTCTCCTTTGTATGATAACATCTTGTACATGCAGCACATCTTTGAAATCTTATGTAAATTCCAAAAATTTCTAAGTTCTCTGGAATCTAATGTTTGTACACTTTTTAGAAAAAAAATAGTAGTAACATAGAAGTAACATCATTGTTTAAAAATGTAAAGATCTGATATTTTGATGTGTGGATGTGAAATCTTAAATAAAGTGTATTTACCCTTAATTTGAGTAGGTAAATGAGATTTGCCAATGGAACGAGTATTTTCACTCTTAAAATAAGATAATTAGATAAAATGCTTGTGAAATTAGACAATCCAACTTTTAATTCAATTTAATTGAATTCAATTTTGGTCAATTCAATTTGGGCAATTTTAAAATCCTTTCATTTCTCTCATCTTTATTTACCTTGAATTATGCTCACTTGGCATGAGCATTTTAACCAGCATGTTTTCAACACTATCATACTCATTGTAAAAACAAACTTTTTATCAAACCGTTAGAAGAAAGCAAAAGAAATCCAGCCTCTCACAGACAAAGGGGTGTGTGTGTTTGTGTGTGTGTGTGTGTGTGTGTGTGTGTGTGTAGTGTGAGGCCTGGTCATCTCCATATGCATGTCGTTATTGTCAAGGTGTAGAGGTGGCCGACGTCTTGTTTTTTTTACGTTTAAAGTAGAAAAGCCAGACTCACACAAAACACATTGCAAAAGGGAAAAGGTTTTTCAGAAACCTGGAAGCCAAGGTTGCATTTTCATTCTAATGTAATACTATTAGATTAAATGTTTGATAATCCAGAGGGAAAATACAATGTTTTTGTAACTCATAGGGATCTTTTTCATTGAGTTGTTGTACATCTTAGTGCAGTATCAGTGCAGAGGAAGGACCTTTGTTTTTGTTAAATAGTCATCTGAAAAGGATCCTTAGGGTTGCTCATAATATCATAGTAACGATTAAAACATATTTTATAATAATTTAAACCAACACATTTTTTATAATATATTTTTTCTCATTTTATCTCTCAATTTTCTGTGGTCCCATGATTACCCCCTCCCATCCACCACCCCCAACTCCCCCACCCACACACACACACTTTGATCCACCTTTAATACTCAAAGCTGTGATGTTTTTTAAGAGAAAGCAAACATAAACTTCTTTGTGTTCAGTTTGATCTGCTTGTTTTACATTAACAAAAGAGGGAAGACTCGGTATAAATGTTCGAGCTCGGCCTGTTTTTCAGTGTAGTCCTGTTTCTCTGACTGTTAACACTCTTACCTCATAACCTTTCCTCTTCTTTAGTCTCTTCTTGTTGAGCTTTTTGCATGCATACAGTTTCCCTGTGCCTTTCATCTGACAGGCAGAAACCTCCCCGAAACCACCTTTACCCAAAACACGAAAATCCAGAAACCAGTCGTCTCCTATTGGCTGCATCTCTAGCCACTTCCACTGCAGGAACCTCTTCAGATACATACTCTCCAGAAAAAAAGTGTAGGGCACTTCTTTCAGGAAGTCCATCACACTGTCCATGGTCTCATTGAAAAGATCATCACCAGCCTCTTGGTGTTTCTCTTTCACCTTTGTGATCCCATTTTCCGGCAGAAAGGGGCAGTTATACTTAGCATTAGGCTCCATGTACCGAGACAAGATCTTGCTTGCTTTGTTGGCTCTGTCCTCATCCTCAGCCATGTTGTAGTCTTCAATGTCCTTCCATAGACGGCAGGGACCTTTGTACTCATTGTTGGCCTCCAAGAACTCCTGGAAAAGGCGTTTGCCAATGGGCTGCTCCACACAGACCGTGTTGAAGCCCAGATCTAAGGTTTCACGCAGACCTTCACAGACTGTAATGTGAGGCAGCTTTAGACGGGATCGGTACTTCTTGTCCCGGTTGACAGCTGGGTTGGCAGTGCCATCAAAGCTGCCACGGGCAGAGATGTAAGCAGAGTTGGCCACCACTGTTGTCAGACCCCCGATATCCATGGAGATACAGAGGAAATCTGTATAAAAGAAGCTGAATATATACAAGAAACACACTGAAAGTACCAACAGGTAGACGACTTCTTTGTCTTTCAGGGATTCAGATGGCTGCAGACTGTCACAGTGAACTCAGTGAGCTGATGACTGAAGCTCACAGGTCCTTCTGGTCCCTTCACACACATGCAGACACATATGCAGATCTGCCTGACTCATCAACTTTCTCCAAAGGGATTTATCCACCCTGTTATCTCTTTAATGCCACTTCCAGTGCTTACCCATGTGCCGGCTGTAAGAGAGTGGAAGATAAAAACATGGAAAAGACAAAAGAAGCAAAAGATGAGATTGTACTCCAGGCAGAATATTCAGTAATTCATTTGAATGATGGCCTCATGCAGTTTCTCAGACTGGTTTTAATCAGTACTTCTGTAGATTTTCTAATCCTCCTTTATTTTACTTTTTCTTTGATTTTTAATTCTTTATCTCTTTTCAGCCCAGTTTTTGTTCCTGAAAAGTGAGAACAATTGATCTTTAATAACAATAATAATAATAAGCAATGGAAGGAAGGAGAAGAGGCATCAGGTCTTAAAGCTTTTTTGGAAAGAAAATAGGAAACAGTCCAGAATATAGGATCATCCTACATTATCTATCTATCTATCTCTCTATCTATCTATCTTGCTTTAGCCTGTTGTTTAAAGAATAACACCTTATATTTAATTCATATCCCTTATTTGCTTTTTATAAACATTGTAACAAAAATTTTAATCTGAACACAACTTGACATAAGCTGTGTTTATCAGAAGAAATAGAAGCAAAATAAAGTGCTATATAGAAGTGTACAGAACATTTTACCGCTGTTGGTGCTAAACTGATTTAAGATTTTATTTCCACAATTCTTATTTATCCTCCTACTTATTGCCTCAGTTTTATAATAAAAGTTTAAAGCCAATATTTCCTCTTTTCTTTTTGGAAATAGAAAAGCAGGATTTTTTCTGCTTCCAAAGAAATTACTAAATAATTTTGACATAAACTTACATTTTAGGTAATTTTTATTTTGCATACTTGAAATATTTTGTACCAGTAATTTCACTTGTATTTAAGAGAAGGTTTTATCAAGATTACTGTACTGGAGTAATTCTTTTTTGTACTCTCCTAACATCTGCATATCACCAACTAGTGCACAGGAGTGACTGTCAGAGTAAATCATTATGACGAGTACTGCTAACTATATGACAAAGTTTACGAAGAGTGAAAACAAAATCAGTTAAAAAAAAAAATCCTTACAAGTCTGTTATTAATCATCCCCTCCAACTAATAGGATGAGGTCTTACAGAGATGTGCTGACTGCATAGTTTGTAGGTTATCAGCTTAAGCAGGTCTGCACACATGCTTGCAAACACACAACTCGACACGTGTGCTGCTGTCTCATTCACAGCTGAGCGTCACACGGTTGTTAGGGTTTCCACATCTCCTAGGACCCCTTTGGAAAATAACAATCACGTGGATTTATGAATGGGAGCTGTTCAATTATTTTTGCTACTGGGTAAAACAACAGCAGAAAAATATTCAAGTTAGCTTTGTCTTTTTTTTTATTTGAATGAAAACTATTAGCTTTCCATATTTTGTTTAAAAAATATATAAAACATGAAATCAAGAAATCAGGATTCTGAAAAAGCAGGTGTCCCTAATAATGACGATGAATCTTTAGACACACAAAAACTGATAATCAGGACAAATAACTTTTTTCTAAAGAGAAATTAATTTAACTGGGTTCAACACTGCAAATACAAATGAAGACATTAATGCAATGTTTATAAATGACAAACAGAAATGAAACCTTACCCAAAAAGGAATATAAAAATAAACAGAAATG